GAACTCTGAACTCTACGTTCCTCCAACAGTAACTGTCTTATTTATGTACACTCTGTTGGCTTTCTTTCAAACTGTCCTACCAGGGTCATTGCCTAAAGCCTTTTTCAAGGCCTACTTCCAAGGAAGTGTAGGCTGAGGAGGTAGTGCCTAGGTCACAGAGTAATCAAAAAGGTAAGGAAATGAAACATAGGAAATAAGGCGCCAAGCCAGGAGGTGTAAGTTAGTGCCAGAGTGCTTAGCTAGCATGTGTGAGAGGCTTTGAGTCCAATCTTCAGAAAGAAAGAGAGGAAAAGAGGGAGGGGAGAGAGAGGGAAGAAGGAGGGAGAGAAGACGGGAGGGAGAGACAGACAGACAGAGACAGTGAGACAGAGAGGTAAAGGAAGAGAGGAAGGAAGGAGGGAAATGGAACAGAAGAAGTGATATGTTTAAAAAAAAAAAAACCACAAAAAAATCATCCCACAGACTCTCAAGTGAAGACAGCCAGTTATTGCTCTCCATGACCCCAATGGCCCCACTGTCCTGCCCCTGCCCCTGGAAACCTCAGGATGGGTGCTGTCCCCAGTGACCTGGAAAACTCTTGTCATTGCCACCACTTGTACCATCAGAACAGGATATCCCCATGTCCTAATTCTTAAGTCAGTTACTCTAGGTTTAAAATCCTTAGTAGATGCATCTTATCAGGTGAGCCCAGACCACCCACCACAGTTTAGGTATCAAGAATATGGAAAGGATCCACAGATTTTTGAGCATCTATAGTGAGAAGGACTTGGTCTGTGATCAGACTTGGTCTGCAGAATTGGTCTGCAACCCTAAAGCAACCTGAGAGTAACAAATCCTGCCGTTTTCATGTTCTTGGCACAGCAGGCATGGACCTGGTGTAACTACATCTGCTCTGATGCTACAGGCTGGCTCATCACTCACTTCCCCTCTACTCTGAAATGTCTTTGTGTTCTAATGAAATGCTTTTAGGCTCCGATGGTACCCCTTTAATGCCTTGCCTTGCTTTTTGGAGGCATTGTGTCTCTGAATTCTATATTTCTTTGCAATCCTGGCCCATCCCGGTCATGATGCTTAGTATACAGTATAGGAGTAAGATTTGCATCTTTCTCACTGTCCACAAAGCTCTTTGATGATAGCTAGATTCCCTATGCTACTTCCTCCAGATCCAATGGAGTAGAAATCACATAGCGAGAGTTTGAGTGTTTGCTTAATGAGAAGCAGTTTTTTTTAACTGTTATGCCCGAGAACAAAAGACATTAACAGGAGAATGACAAGAAGTTTATTAACATTTATACCTTATGCGTCCATGGGAAAAAACTTAGAGATGAGTAAATATCAGGGGTAGATCACAGGGGCAGTGTTTAAATTTTAGGGTTAAAGATCATCATTTTCTGAAGTAAAAGTCTGTGATGGGGGAGAAATCCCCATTGAGACAAGAAGACCAGAAAATGCACCTTATAAAAAAGGTCACATTTGTTGTGCAGAATGAAGGCCAGGCCTTCTCCTGATTAAGAGTCTCTAATGATTCAGTCATCATCTTCCTGGTGGGAAGAGGAAGAGATATTTACAAATGAGAAAAGGAGGTTGCATGCTTTTATTTTGTTTTCTTTTTAGTACATGTAAGTTCCTCTTATAAAAGGGTAACTTTTCAGTTTCTCAAAATGACCAACTCAAAGCAATCCATACATAAGACATTTTATGTTAAAGAAACATGTAGGGGTGGCGGATGTCAGTCTTCTGGAGGCATGATTGGGTTGACGTGTCCTAAACCACATCAAGAATGAAATGATCACTCCAGGTCTCTGAGGGATTGGAGCTCTGAGCTGTTGGTTTCAAGGCCTTTTTAAACTAGGTGGGAAGCCTATCTATTTTTGTTGTTGTTGCTGTTGTTGTTGTTCATCTGTGCTATGAGGCTCATAGGACTCTAAGAATGACAGGGGATAAAGTAGCCAAGGGTTGACACAATGCTTGGCAATGTCTAGTATTTATCTGCCGCTACTATTACTACCTCTGTGATCTTCCTGGCCTCGCCTGGGAATGACGGCTCTGATAGCAGTGAGTGCTGTGGATGGACTGTGGACTAGTTTGAGACAGGAGAGGAAAAGCCCCTGAGAATGTTAGTACAGAAATGCAAGAGAGGGGAACGGGGCTTTCCTAAGGCTGGGGCAGTGGGAGTGAGGGAGAAAGGCTGGAAGGGAGTGTGCAGGCAGGCAGAGGAGCTGAGAGTGACTCAGGCTGCCGTGCTCTATGACCAGCTCAGTGCACACCATGCTCTTTGCCCCAATCCACTGCTCTTGGGCACCGTATTTTCTGCAGGCTCTGGAAGTGCAGCCCCAATGTATCCGTAAGAAGTTTCAGTTCAGACCTCTGTGCTCTGCTTGGGAGTTCCTTCTGCTTGGACTGTCTTGCCTACGCCTCTTTCCTGCCATCACCGGGAGCTTCATGAGGTTCCCTCCAGAGCACCTTGTCCTTACCCTGTCAAGTACAGTGGTAACTTGGTTCACAAACTTCATTCTTTCCATGATGATGGCTGCAGGCTGAATTAGATGAGAATAGAACCAAATTCAAAGGTTAGGTTCAATGTTGACCTATGGGGAAATTTGATTCTGTTCTTGTCCAGCTCATCTTGTGACCAGAATCATGGAAAGAATGAAGTTTGTGAACCAAGGCACCACTGTAGCTGCCACACGATACTTGCTTGTTTCCTTGCCTGTCTTCCTCTGGAAATCATAAGATGCCCAAGGGCAAACATCTCATCTCTCCCATATTGATGGTAGAGAGCTAGGGCTCAGGAAATGTTTGCTGACCTGACCAAACTCGCTTCAGCCAAGGACTGGGCTGATCTTCTGGACTCCTCCAGAGAACAGCAGGATCTAGAGGCAGGTGGGCAGCTGGGGGACACGGTGGACACATGTACATTTTGACAAAAGTTTCCCAGTGGCTCTGAGTCACATCCTGTGCTCATCAGATCTTGTTCTCTGCCCCTTCGGGCCAAGTACAAAGGGCTCACTCGCCTGCCTTCCTCTATGAGGCCATGCAGTCACATAATGACCAGGGACAGTGCCGTCATCGGTGCCAGGTGAGGCTGCCAGCCGGGTCCTGCGCAGCACAGCAGCGAGGCACTAGCTCCTTCTGGTGAGGATTGGCCCACTGCCCTCACTTCCGGAACTCCTCCCTCACCTGACCCCCTCACTTCCTGCCTTCTCCTCTCCCTGATGTATCACTTCAGGGCTTGACTGTGGCAACCTCCTCCCTGGAGCTGAAGCCTAATATTGCCAAGTCCACTGGGACACAACCCCTCGCAAATCTGATGAACCCTGCTTGGGGTTCAAAGGAGCCGCTCCCTGACTCAGGCAGGTGCAGGGCTGGGGGAAGCCAGGGGCAAAGCCCTCTGCTTGCAGGAGGGTGGCTGAACGCTATGCTTCCCTCTTGCAGCAGCTCTTTGGTACCAGCATGGCAAGCCCACCTCCCATTGTTTTCATTTTCTCCTCTGTGCCACGGGAATAGAACCATTTCCTCTGCAGCTTACTAGCGTGGTATAACTGGGTGAAGATTCTGGAGCAAATGGCACTCAGTGAATATACGCTATCTATGGTCTTTGTTAGGTTGGCTCTTTTGGAAACCAAGACACAATTAAATGAGCAAATGTTACAAAAGGCAGTGTACACCTTGAACTCTGGGAAGCTGAGGCAGGAGGACTGCGAGTTGGAGCCCAGTGTGTGCAATTTAGGACTTAGTGAGAGGCTACCTCAAAGTAAACTGAAAAAGGGGTGGAATGTAGCTCAGGGCCAAGGTCCTGAGTTCAATCCCTAGTATGTGAGTACATAAATCCATATAGTTGAGCAAGAGATATTCTAGGGCACAAGCTGGTGCAGAGAATGAGTGGGAGCAGATGGAGAGAGGCAGGCTGTGTCTTGGGCCCAGGCTTGTGAAAGCAGAGAGAGCATTGACAGGCAGAGCCTCAGGCCAGCTCAGGTGGAGGCTTAGGGATCTGTGGAGCCCCAGCAGCCCTATCTTGGGAGGCGACCAGCTTGTGGGAAGGCCTCAGCCCCAGCGACCCCGAGGCGTGGTCAGGAGCTGGGAGCAGCATGGCTGTGTGTCCTCGGAGTGGGCTCTAGCAGCCTTGTTCTCTGGTGCCCGGGGCATACACCTCCCTGTGCTCTCCACAGGTCCTCTCCCGGGGAGACATGTGGGCTGTGTGGTCACTGTGTGACTATGCCCCATGTCCTTCTTTCTCCTGTCTTGGTCCCCGCCTTGGGGATCACAGTCTGTCATCGCTCATTTTATTACCATAGTCTGCCAGGCCTGCCATCAACAAAACCTCTTAGATCCAAGGAGGGCCTACACCAGGAAAACGGATGTCTTTCAGTTGTGAAGGCTGGAACCCAAGGCCAAGGTGAGGCCTGGGTCGGTTTCTCCATGGTGTACAGGTGGCAGCGATCTCACTGTCTCCGTGGAGTGTCTTCTCTGTCACCACTCTGCTCCAGTGTCTCGTGAGGTTCCAGTCCTGCTGGCTCAGGGCTCTGCTTTCCTAGCCTCATTCACTCTGTGCCCTTCTCCAAGTCCCTGTCTCTAAGCAGAGTCACAGGGCTAAGGCTCCAACACTCCAAACCTTGGGACACATAAGTGAGTGCATAACTTTCTCCTATAGCTCAGTTAGTGAGCGTGTCTTCCTCTCTGCCCTCCCTCCTTCCCGGCTCCATCACTCCCTCATTCTTTAAGAGCCTGCAGCGTTCCACCTGGCATGCTAAAGATGCAGGAATGAAAGCTGTGATTCTCCATTTCAACTGGATCACACCCCCTTGGGAAGGAGCAGCTGGGGGCTGGCACTACCTGGGGACAGGTACAGTAGTGACAAGAGTGACCCTGGGTCCTGGGAGAATATACAAAGGAGATCACAGGCCCAGCCTGACCTTGCCTAAGGTAGTGAAGTAACACTTTCTGGAAGAGGTAGCATCCGGGTGAGCTTTAAAGACGGGGTAGAATTTAGCTATGGAGAAGGCTGCTAAAATTCGCCTGTAAATACAAGTGCCAGAGGACAGCATTCCTGCTCCCAACCTGTTTTTTTTTTTTTTTTGTACCGGGAATCAAACTTGGCTCATTGAGCTTGGCCATGCAGGTGCCAGAACCACTGGCACCCTCCCGGGCCCCCTCCTTCCAACCTTCTTAGATTAAGGAATGCACTGCCCAGCATTCCAGGGTGCCTGTACCTCGCCTAAGCTCACAACACTTCTTATCAGGTCTTTGGTGAAGAGCGCAGTGGCAGGTGGAACTCCCGTGGCGAAAGCCCCTTTCAGGGCTCCGTGATGCTTCAGCCCGCCTGCCCGTTGCTAGGCTGCGTGTGGCTCTCAGAGAGACATCTGTCCCCATCCCCCGTTATTAGGGAAACTGCTGAGCACCCCGAGGCGATGCCCTCCTCATAGGAGGTACGTGTGAAACGGTCTAGAAACGCCACCTTAAGATCCGAAAGATGCAATTTAAGTTCCCTGTGGTGATTATACACAGCGGCCGGTGAAATGCAGCAGGGCGTCTCGTGGACCCGGGGCTGAGGGCTTCAGATGGAGGCGGAGACGCTGTGCCGCGTGCAGCAGGTCATCAGCACGTACTCCAGGGGTTACTCATTTCAGGGTGTGCAGGGGTCAGCGAGCAGGAAATCCAGAGAGGAGTTTTTTTTTTTTTTTTTTTTTTTTTTTTTTTTTTTTTTTTTTTTTT